TGCACCATCAATCGGTTACAACATCCGCACCCACAGAGTGCTGGTTCTTCATTCATCTACCACACTCATCGATACTCTGTTGCTCAATTAATTTCTACGATCCCCAGTCCACATATTATTTCTGTCCTTCATCACCTAGGAGTGTCCAACCCATCCAATATCCGCCCCCTGGAGATTTTTTCAGCACAAACGAAGCAGACCCCTTACTGAACTATGATGGATATCGCATTCGTCTTACATGTTGTCTTCCCGTTTTTCGGCAGTCAGCAATTCGAATTATTTTTGCCCAACTCCTTTCCCCTCACCAAGGATTGAACTACCAATCTTGTGACAAACTGGCGACGCTTGAATTCATAAAACTACGACATCGACTTCCGAAGCGCGGAACGAGTTACTCCTCTTAAAGCGATGACGAATGTTCGAAACCTCGATGTCGCAGGTTATAATTCATCAAACGCCATTTTGCTTTAGGTGCAAATTCCGTTGATTCAGTCAAAAGCAGCATTACGGAGTCTCTCGTCAAGCGCGTTGTTGGTGGCTAAAGTCAGAAAATAAAGGTGGCATTTGATGACACCACTACTGGTCACGGTTGGGTGTACGTGGCTACTTCAGACACTTAATTAGGTTTTCGATTCACGGTTCAAGTGTTATGACGATGCTTTGGAACGCGAACGGAAACAAAAATGGTAAGCGCAGTTATTTTCAGCTATTGTCATTTATTGTCAGTTATTGGCACAACTGAACCGGATACAACGCATCTCCCGGATCGAGATCCCTCTTGAGAGAAAAATCAACATCAAAGGTAGAATATTCAAAGTATTCACCATGACAGACGAGTGATGCAGTCATTCGATTTCTATGTGGGACCTGCACACATGTTCAGAAATTGGCTAGAGCCAGGTTACCGAACAATGGAGTCCGCAGGCTAGTGGTCATGCGCAAGAACCTCTCGATTACCGTCAAAACAACGTCAAACACCGTCCATGCAGCTACCTCGAACAAAGCCAACTGTGATGAGCTGGTCTTCATTTTTCTTACTAACATTTAGTGGCGTTGCGCCCTCTCAAAATGCGTAAGTATCCTACTGAGAGGGTCCGTGTCACGCGAATGTTCGATGGTTCCAAGTATGAGAAGGAAGGATTGGGTTCGAAACACAGCATCACTGTTTACATAAATAATATTCAGTGAATGTAGTCGATTTCTCGGAAACTACAAAGTTATCAAGATTACCACTTCGTAGTTAAAAACAGGCGAAAAAACGCAGCACTGCTCTACACTTTCTCAGCGCATGTCAGCAGCTTGCCAGTGTAATGACTTGCGTGAGAAGTGCCCAATAATGCTTTGAACTGGGTTCTAGTTAGAGGGTGGACAACTTTTGTGGGAAAAGCATTCCACGCAGCTAGTACCCGAAATGAGAGCAATTCACCCAATAAAAGTGTACCCTATGAGCTTGAAAAACTTTTTACGATGTCCTCGCCGTATGTCTGTTGGGTCGGCCGTGCAAAACCTCTTGGCCAAGCCTTGTTCGAACAGGGCATAAGAAGCAATTAGGTCTCCTCGGAGGCGACAACACTTCACGGAGCAAGGGTCGAGGTCCACGAGACGCGTTTCATGGTCCACGGATTTATGGCCGGTGGCTATTTTCGTAGCAGCTTGCTTGACGCACTAGACGAGGATTACATCTTTCGCGCGTTCTGAGCGGACAACTTGGAAGGCATATTAAAGAAGTGATCTGATGTTGGCCTCAGATAATTTGGGAGTCTGCGAATAATGTGGGAAAAGGACGGTTAAATCAACCGTAGAACGGCAAATGCCCTATTTCTTGCGATGTCGTAAGAAGAGCATATTTGATGACAGCCAGATACCAAAATCCTTATTGGCATCTATCCTCGCGATGTTCTCCGAGCCATTCTCACCATGCAAGACAAAATCACGCACTAAGTCTTCTGCGAAGGACATTTTAGCGCACTTTTCGTTATATAGATGAAGGTGCCAGTTCAACAACCTTCGCTTTGCGGCGCTTATATCTATTTGGAGGGCACTGACATTAAGATTCCAGGATTTCAAGTATTCCGCGAAAGTGGACACGGACTCGCAATAATATCTGGAAGGTCAATGACGTATACCAGAAGTCTTCATAGCAGAAAATTCGAATCCACGTTTGAGTTTGGTGGTTTCTGGCCCATTAGCAGATAAAATGGAAGGTCGACACACGGTGGCCACTGCCTTAATCATTAATCATCGCCCGATCGATGAAGTTTTTCGTTGGTGATGACCGACACCAGGATGGATAGTTGTTGGCCTACGCCATATCTCGGGGAAAATTGCGACCTCTGTTCATCGTAGCTCGTTCAATATCACCTTTTGGACGACTGGATTTGATTTTGTTCAAACTTGTGTTTGTTTACGTTTTTGTACCTCTTGGCGCAGTTTCAACAGTATGGTGTCTCTGAGAAAGCCCGGAGTGTTGAGCGGTAGAACAAAGCGATATTCCTTTCATTGCGCCACCATAAGGTTCGTTTTCTCAGAGGATTGCACCTGAGCTAGTTTTCTGATTTGGCAAAGCTAACGTGGTTTGTTTGTCGGCAGTCACCTCTCTCCCAAGTCATCCGTGATCAGCGAGGTCAAAAGAGTTTGTGTTCAGTGTTGCCAGTCTTGTGGCTTTGGCTGTCGGAGTTCTGGCGACGACTGTGTCAACAATCGAGGAAGCCACTTTTGACGGAGTGGAGCTGGAGATTAACAGTTTCACGTTCTCATTGGCTGTAGGATTCTCACAGATTTCCCCGATGTTGACGTATGCCCCCATGGATGACTTGTCGGTAGGCTTCGCCGCTTGTCTCAGCACGTATGGCCCAGGTAATATCATAAGTTGTGACTTTTGTGTGGAGTTTCCTGTTGTGCCTTCGTCGTCTGTTACGGAAGTAAGCGATGATAGCACTACCATGGGTTTGAGCGTTTGTTTTGGGTTGACCGAAGTTGTGCCAAGCAGGAGCCTGTTTTGCATCTGTTCCCCAGATATGCTGCAGCCCAGCTTTCACGTGTTACGGAATAAGCGATGATAGCACTACCATGGGTTTGAGCGTTTGTTTTGGGTTGACCGAAGTTGTGCCAAGCAGGAGCCTGTTTTGCATCTGTTCCCCAGATATGCTGCAGCCCAGCTTTCACGCCTCTAGAGGGCATCCTCTGATCTACGTCTATTAGTTTGGTAGGCTTCTTGAACGCCCACAGTTTACTTCAAGATCTTCTCTACGGGAGGAAAGTGTGACTAGAAGCCAAAGTGTTCACTTGCTTCGCTTTTGGTGTACCCGATCTGCATGCAGCCACTTGTTGCTAGTCTATGTGAGGGCACTACCAAGTGGCGATTGTGCCTGTTTCGTTGGCGCAGTTTTTCTAGTGAACGACTCCAAGATGATCAGTCTTCTCTCCCTCATGCTTCTGTTTACTGGGGATACCGTGGCGGTCATTATTGCCGCATCAGAGAGCTGAATAACCTGTCCGGAATTAGTACCGGAATTCGATCAGTGACTTACAGCGCGTCAACAAGCCAGAAGCAGCTCGTTCCTGTGGCTTATTTGGATAACAGTCATCTCTTTGCAGTTCACGCAGTTGTTGTACGTTTAAACAAAAGGATACAAGGTGAGCGTCACGGTGTGCTATACGCATGAAGGACCGACAGTCGGAGCTGGCGCAAATGAACAGAAGCGTATTGGGTGATTATGTGGATAATTATCAACATGCTGACGGTCACGCTCACCAGCCTTCTAGTGTGACCGCGCTTGTTCGCATGAGCGCATAATGGACAAAACGCGCAACCGCTTCACCGCAATTATGCACACACGTGGACCGTGATAAAATGAGCCATGGGGCATTATATATGCCCAATCTCTGCCAGGATCCATGCAGTTTGAGCTCACATTCCAACGCGGGACGGTGCTCACGTCCGTTCTGTGAGCCTGCGAGAATCTCGACTGTAATAGAAGCTACTTCGATAATATTTCAGCGCTGAGCTTGCGTGAGTTGGTGGTTTATCAGTCACATTTAGAGTTCACGTTCGTCAAAGAGACCCAGTCGGTGTAAGGAACGAGCGATGACCTATTATTCACAACTTCTCACCGGCTTTTATACCATCCTGACGTATGGCCATGTGACCCTGATGTATTCGAGGCCCCGTCCAGGCAGCAAGGCTAGAAATACTTGTCACAGTGAAGTATCATTGTTCTGACCTGATTTTTCCACCAGGGATCAGCATGTGGAGGCCCTACAGCAGCCAGCTGTTAGAGGCTGACAATATGATCCCGGAGTCAACAGGGCAGGACCGACCTCTCTAATTATTGCATGCACCTCTTGCAACTCCGAGGTCAGCTAAATAATTCACTGCTCAATATATGCCCAAGCAGACTCTTTGTTGCCATGGTGAGGCTGAGCTGAGTGAACCCTGTTGAACCCTTCTATGCTTTCTCTCGGAAGAATTCTTGTGTTGAATGGCAAAAATATGGAGCCGTCGGCTGAGTGCAGCGAACTCGGAAATGTGCCATATTAGATGGGGAGCATAAAACCCGCCACAATCGCTTCAAATGACCACCGAGTGTCGGAGCAAAGTGCTCATCTGGCATTCAATCGTTCAGTCAACTTTACGCTACTGCCGAAGCCACTCGAGTTTATAAGTCTGCATTAGATGGGGCCCGTTGGCCGCACAATGCTTTTAGCTGCAAAATGTGTGCAGGTGGAATGAAAATTTTCACGCCAAAATATTGCGTTGTATTGCGTATGTGAAGAAGCCAAAAGACAAAAACCATCCCAACCTGCCTTCATACGTCTGCAGACCACCAAAGTCCATTGTCCGCTGAAGCAATCGTACCTCTCGCAGATAAACGTCGGTGAAGTAATTTCCTAGCGTCCCTGAGACCCCTCAATAACTAGCCGGGACTCAAAAGTTTGAACTCTTCCTCTGAACGGAGTCGCTTGTTTCTTTTAGTCTATCAGAGACACGTCGTAACTTTCGAAAATTCAATTATACTGTGTGAATACCGTGCGCCGGAACTAACCAATCACTCAATGCGAAGCGGACAGCCTGGACTCAAGATCAAGGACGCACCCTGAGCACCTCGGCGCTTCGCGCATCTTTGTGCTCTCTAGTTGGCAATAAGCTTCCCTGTTGGCTGATTCTGCTCCTTGCAGTGACTTCCGGGAGCCTGTTTCTCCAGTTATTTACAACAACTGACCCCATCCACAGTGCTTGTATTTCTCTTATCACTCTTCTCGATAGGTTGCGGCTCATTGAGGCTAAGGGGGACCCCTATTCCATAGAATTTTACCGTCGTCCTTCATCGAGGGCCGTTCACCCGTTCACTATCTTCTCCCTGGATATTTTAACTCGAGCAAACGGCGGGCATTGTCCTTACTAGATCAGGGCATCATTCGTATTCTTACATTTCCGTACATTAGAGTTATCCCGTGGGGCTAAATAGAGTTAGTTGTTCTCCAGTGCAATCGTGTGACCGATTTAGTAATGAAAGCCTTCTTGAAGCAGGCATTATCACTGTGCAACATTCATATGTCATCACCCATGGGTGGTGAGACGCGCCAGACGAAGGAAGACAGAAGTAAGATCTCTTTCTCCCCGGTCATACGCACAGAGCAAAAGGCATTATTGTTGAACCGACGTTCCGGACAGTTGAAGCGGCTACGAAATGCACGGTATCAGCGCATTACAAGATCTAAACAAAGTTGGAAATTAGTCAACAACAAACCCAGTAAGCTACCCATTTTGCGAGTCATTCTGGTAACATTTGTATGAAGTTCATAATTTCGTTCCTTCAGCAGCTATTGGGACTGGTATATAGTGGCGGGAAGCTCACGTTTTGGTTCACTTTGCAATGCAACCTACCCTTGTACAAAACTTCATAGGCTGAGGACGCCAAACTACCAGTCACATTCAGTGTTCTATCTCAGATAGCATCCACGCGGGAACTATCCTCAAGTGGCGATGAATCATGATACTGTCGAAGACGCACGTTATCTGGACCAGAATTTTTGTGCAGATAAGCGACGGTGAACCTACTGAGAAAAATTAGGGTTTATTCACGTGCTAACAAAAGTCCAGGCGATTTTAATCCGTTTCCAACTTTCTGATTGTTCACATACGCATGTGGACAGCCCGACATTAGTACAACTCTTGTAGTTCCATCGGATTGACCGGTTTGTTAGGGCACAGCAGCTAAATAATTTGATTTTTATCACTGCAGTTACGGTGTGGTCTAAATTAGATCCTTTTAATTCAGCGTTGTTCTTGTGGAATTCATCCGCGTCACGGTTCCTACTACCAAGCTCTACGAATGTGACAACGAGCAGCTCGTTGGCGTCGAAGTGGTGTGTTCCTGAATCTCAAGGGACGTGTGTATTTGGCTACAGTGGAGCTGTTTTGTTGTATGGTTTATTCAAGCAGCGGAACTGAGACGAATGTGAGAGCAGCTCGTTGGCGTCGAAGTGGTGTGTTCCTGAATCTCAAGGGACGTGTGTATTTGGCTACAGTGGAGCTGTTTTGTTGTATGGTTTATTCAAGCAGCGGAACTGAGACGTCTTCAGGTGTTCGACAACCGTTTCCCCGGAACCGTGGGTTGGTGTCGGCGTATCAGTGGAGAGGCAATTAGAAAGCACGTTTTCGGTTGTGCAACTGATACTTCCGCTGAAGAATGCGTTCAGCACTAGATGTTGCGTTGGTTGGGATATGTGTTGCATATGCTTAACCATCGTTTGCCGAAGAGAGTACTGTTTTCCATGCCCGATTCAGAGTGGCGTAGGCAGACAGGTGCCAAACCTTTGACCTGGCAGAGGGCTATGAAAGAAATCACGAAACATTTGGGTGTTGTCGGTGCTACTCGCCTTCCAGGATAGGGACTGCCTGGCCCTCACTGCAGCTGGTTGGAGACCCTGCAAAATATGACTGCTAATCGATGTCGGAGGCGTTCTTATTGTCAGTTCTTATCCAGATTGGCGGAATCAGTGTTTGGAATGATTTTAGTAAGCTACCACCGTCCGTTATTCTTTTCAAAATGAGGCTTCCAAATAAATCATGGTTGTTCAGCAGTGAGGCGTTGAACACTCGTGTCATGTTTTCGATGACGATAGTGGCGATAGGCTATTTAACCAGCGTTAGCCATGAATAAAGAACTTCCAAAGGCTGTTTAGCCATTAACCTAAAACTTTCTGTTGAGATTGGTTACATTTTTCGAGTTAGGAAACAGTTTTGGCACAGTCTAATGGCAACTTTTTATGTTAATGTTGGCGCCTCCAGGCCACGAAGCTTTTTCTGCTCAACAAATTGAGGGTTTTAATCTGTACACAGGCTATCCCGATTTAGCTACCGCACTTCTCGGCAGGTAGTTCAAATAAGTTGACAGGGCAGGTCTAGTTTCGAATCACGCTTGAGGTTCTTGTCGTAGTTTGTGGACAATTCTCATCGAGCCAACGACCGATTCTTGAGCGCTGGTGCCCGGCTGTTTCAAATATATTTCTTCACCAGTATATATTGTCGTTTAGTGTCACCCTTTCTGTGCCTAATGCCATGCCACTCGAAGTTTGCACGAGGGCTGGGACGCTGCCAGGTTGTCCAAGCCTAGACAGGGGAAGCCGAGTGACAGAGGTCGGGTTCGAACCACGGACCTTCTGGTCAGTAAATTCGCGCTCTAACCACTTGGGCCATCTCACCCCTCAAACCGTTCTTTCTAACTAATTACCAACTTCAAAGGAGGACTTGAAAATTATTGCTGTGGGCTTGGATCATCAAGTGGGCGTACTGGAGTCGATCATCTGACATGGGTAGTGATCCCGGTTTAGTTGACTTCGTCTTTGTGACTACATCTTACGAGTTCCGTTTAAATTTGAACTGTGTAATCTGTCAATTACTGCATCCACTCATTCAGTATCCAACGAAATCATATTCACCAATCATGCGGTTGTGTGGTTCTGCGGTTAACTGTTTGGGGCTTTTGACTAAAAAGCGGTTTGACTGACCTCTCCACACCTACTGCATGATGCTTAATAAAGACCGATTACATGTAAGCGAGTTCTGCAGAATCATCCGCATCGCATAAGCAACACGTTTTGGCGAATGTAAGTAAATCACCTCGCGCGAGCACCCGCCGTGTTTGTTCGGGGTCTGTGAAAGAATAATTCATGCTTTGTTTTCATGGTTCAGGAGCTGGATTAACCGAGCAGCATTTGGCCCCATTATTTATAAACTAAGCCTGTGACCTTAAGTTTTTAAGGTCATTAAACAGCCTTTAACGCCTGTTTTGTTGTTTGGTCAAGATCTTTCTGACTTGGATTGTCCGCTAACCCTCTGTTGGCAGTGTTGAACGTAGTTCTACGGACTTTTCGTTTATTTATTCTTATCCATGAGGGTTTTTTTTGTAGCGTATTAGTACTACACACCGCTTTGAATAATCGTTTATCTCTGTGTCTTTCTTCCATAAGTGTTCCTCCTGGCTTGTGTGTGTGGCTGGATGATTATCGTAAGTAGTCCACTAGCATCAGCGAACGCGGCCGTGCGACTTCGGGTTGTGTGGTCAAAGCAGCGACTTGATCTTTTGAGCCGAGTTATCTCAGCAATTGCTTCCATCATTTCGTTTTGTGTATGATTGCTGGTTGCAGTCGATGTGATATGAACACCAGCGGTACCGCCTACCAGAAGCTAATTTGACCGTTGGTTTGTCCACCAACCACACTAGCCACTTCTATCAAGCGGTTTGTCAATCTTGCTATGCCTTGAGTGTGCTGCTGACTAGGTCTAGACTGAAACACTGCTTGCTTACACATTTCACTCACTGAACTATCTCTCGATACTACTAAGAACGAACCATTAAATATAGACTATGAGCTCACTTGCATTATGCCAACGAGTTGTTACAGCTGACACACTGTTCTCAAATTCGTGGTACCGTTTTAGTTTTCGCTTTATATGTTTCATGTTTTAATCCACTAACTTTTTCTCTCCGCAGGACACAAATCCAAAGAACAAACCAGTTCTCCGCGAGTTACAATGCGTACTCAAGAAGCTGCTCCACAGTTATTATCCTTGGCTAAGCAGATTGTGCGAACTCGGAACTCTCTTTTTGGAGGCACGACACGACGAGCCTTTACCAAGAAGGAACCGAAATCCATACTGTTCGCGGATGAAACATTTCGTCATCATGGGAAGACTGTCAAAGATATAGTTTGCTCTTAAGATCTCACCAATTGGCGTTTCTGTACATACTTGCCTGCGGTACAAAGAATTCCACAGTGAAATTACTGCCTGTTTTTAACCAGTTCTGTATGGAAACAAAAATAGGGTTTAGTAGCATTTTCATGCAGCTTGTGGTCTTCTTCAGGTGTTTGCAAAAAGAGCCCTTCGAGGAAGTCGGTTGACTGGCATACGGAGCACTTGCCCGGGACAGCGCAACCGGTGCAGTGTGATCAGTTCATCTATCAAGGCTGAGTTATTTTTCCCGAATACCATTCGACGAACTTGATCATTGCTGATCCGGTGTTCCCACCAGATTCGGGCGATGCTCCGGAGACATCGATGGTCAAACGCTGAAAGTCTTTTGACGTCTTTGGCGCGCGGCGGCCAGGTTTCCTATCCATATAGTAATGTGGGGCGCACCGCAGCACTGTAAACTTGACCCTTGACAGAGAAGCTGATGTCAAGCCTACGCCATAGGTGACGCAGGTTCACAAAAGCTGCTCTGGCCTTCTCGATCCTGATGGAAATATAATCTTTCGCGAGACAACCGGGACTGATACAGCTGCCCAGGCAAACAAATTTGTCGACTACCTCAATCCATCCACAAGCCCAATCAATCTTGCAGTAGCAGTTTACACTTTGCAGGTGTGAAGCGCATGCTGAACCGCGAGGCAGAATTATTAGATTATTGTTTGCATTACCACGGGATCAGATCCCAGGAGAGCTATGTCGTCTGCGTACTCGATGTCTGTGAGCGGAGGCCCAGGCATTAGAGGCATTAGAGGCTGGTAGTGAGTCTTCCATGATCGTATCAATGACGAAGTTAAAGAAGAAAGGTAGAAGAGGACAACCCTGTCGGACACCACTTGGTGTGGTGAACTCAGGAGAGAGCTTCCCGGTTAGTGTACAGCGCCTTAATGAGGGTCAAGAATTAATAGGGGACACCTTTGCTCCACAGACACTGCCATAGTGCTTGGCGGTCCATAGAGTCAAAGGCAGCTTTCAGATCAAGAAACAAAACCATTTTTGGTTGCTGGAAGCAGTGTCATTGTTCCAGAATCTGTCGGAGGGTGAAGATGTTATCGATGCAACCTCTTGCAGGACGGAACCCAGCTTGATTTTCACGGATGTCTCTTTCTGTGTTCCGTCAACCTCCGAAGGCTAGGGCCAGAGAGCACCTTCAATGCCACAGCTAACAGGCTGATGCCACGGTGGTTTTCACATAGCGTCCGCGTACCCTTTTTGAAGATAGGGATAACTGTCGACATTCTGCAGGCACTTTCTCTTCGTCGCATACTGTACCAATAAACTTTGTCAGATGGGCCACCAGGGGTTTTCCGCCTTTGAATAGGGCCGGATACAGGCTTTCTGGTCCTGGTGCCTTCTCACGTTTTAGTAGAGCTAATTCGTACCTTATTTCTTTTTCCGATGGGCGATCAAGGTTTACATTCCATTCGCACATGTGCATTATCTCCACAGGTTGTGTTGAAGGAGGCCAGCTGAACTGTTCTTCGAAGTGTTCGGCCCATCCTTCCAGTCAGCGTTTTTGCGAGTGAATTAATAAGCCATTTTTTTCACTTGTCATTTCGCTGACCGTTGCTTTCCTAGGGCCAGTCGATTGTATCAGTTGATACAGGGCACATTTTTTGTGGTCACTCTCAGTCCTCTGTTATTCCGTTTCCCATATCTAACCTTTGCGCTATCGCACTTCGTTCCTCAAAGGGCGACGAAACGAATGTGCAGTTTTTAAGCAATATCTGTTGTTAAGTGTACGGTCGTCGACAGGACCTCGTATATCAGTGTTTCGAGACCTCAATCTGTCAAGGTGTTGCTAGGTAGATCGGCGTCCTGTTAGAGAAGGGAATCGACAGTTTTAGTGATAACGCAACCATTCATAGGCGCTTCTGTTATTTTTTACCTCAGGTTACAATCACTGTCAAAACTATCGTATCGTAAGGAAACTTGTTTGAGAATGCTGTCAGATCACAACGAATATTGAAAACCTTCCGCAACGGCCTGTACATTTAGATATCACCTACCTCGCCCCACAATCAATATTTAGCCCATTTTCTATGCCTTATTGATCTCTGCACATGGGCCATGCCGCTTGTGTGGCATTCATTGGTACGTTCTGATTTTGTTTTCCATTCGTGCAACCTCATTTTTCCGTCTCACCTGGCAGCACTAGTTTGACTTGACGTGAAATGACGATAAACCAACGGGAGCTTCGTCGTCAAACCACAACTGTTATCTGCACTTATCGTCCATTCCGACCAGTCTTGGTTGAGGTGTAGCAGAAGTTAGGTCATCATGGGTCATCATGCTTTCCGAATTATTGATACCCTTCAACTTATGTCAACCCCACTTCAATCTTTATGCTATGCTAACGTTTAACGGAAAATGAAACAACTGGATGGTCATTGGAAATGCTTTTCGCATGTCTATATTTTTGGAGCTTTCCACTACAGTGAAACTTACGGGAACAATAAAAATAGGGACCGACGAGGTTCGCGTTGCCAGTGAAGGAAATAGTTTACAATTCAAGAATAAGTATGATAGTTATATTAATACAGTCAGGCGATCCACGTATATAGAACCGTCATTTGGTTCCCGAGCTTTCTATTGCAGCATACTGTCGCAGCTGGACTGACGTCCGTTTCGTTTACGAATGCGGTGTTTCCACAGGGAAGTACCTTCAAGGGGTGCGAAATTGTCGGAGTGCGCTTTCGCACTAGGTGAGAAATATGGTGCACCCCCACGCCTGCTATATCTAGATTGCATAAAGTTCGGTGTTGTGTATTTTCAACGCCAGATGGCAGGGTATGTTGCGTTACGCCACCGACCTCAGCGCATGCTCAAACATTCGATAAACAGGAATTAGTGAACTGGGATATCAGTAAGGTGTTCCTACATGCTCGTCGTCGGAAAGTGTTTTTTGACTGGCCAGTAAGAACCAAAAACAATTATGTGGTAGTATGCCCTAGCGTTATCACGAAATTGCGTCGAATCGCTTGTTGTTTGGTATCAACTTCCGTAGCATGAATTTGCGTCCTGAATGTGATTTGACAGTTTGGCATTCCGTTCCTTTCATTCACCCATTCTGTCTTTGTGTCCCTCGATTTCCACTTGTTTTTTGTTTCATCATAGCCGCAATCAACCTTGCCAGTCTGATTCACTCGGCAAATGCATTCTTGCCTATGCGGTGTGTGTGATTATTAGTGCACCTGTTCGTCCACCGTCCATTCTGGCCTGTCCTTGCACAACATCCTTGTGGCCGCATCACCTGTCGGAATCATGAGGCTAACCTCGCATAGGACCACCGGAAACCTACCCTACTGAGTCACCATTCCGCTCACCGTTATCTGGTATGCGGACTTATGCACTTGTTTTGACCCCACATGTGGAAAATTTAGGCTTTTCACACACGTTTGTTTACTTACCTGTACTGTAGGTCCTCGACTCTAACTTCTTTGATATTCGGTATCTTCTAACGTACCGTTGGTATGCTAAATCGAGTGAAATTCATACGAGTGGGTGGTATAACCGACTGTTTCTGTGTGACAATCCGGCTGTGTATTCATGGTGTAATCATGGCGAATCACCATGGTAGCGTATTTGATGGGAGTATACTTCGCCTGTTCTGTGGCCAATTGATTTTCTTGTCTTAGAGTGCGAGAGAATGTCAGTTAGATATGGCTTAGTTGTGACAGCTAGTACAGAAGCCTCGTATCAACCATCGATATGTGTGATAGTCCTTAGGTAAATCCATCCACCATCGTTCGCGGAAATCGAGGCTTCACACTTCGGGTTATCTCAGCGCATTCTGCAGTGCTTCACTGTAGTGTTACCCCGATCGTCTTGATCAGATTATCTGCTTACTGTAAACGATATTGGCTTTCAAACAATTCTGTGAGCACATGAACCACTATTGGGGCTTACTGTTCGGGCTAGTTGATGTCATCTACTCAACCTAACCCATGGTCGCAATGTCAGCTCCAAGCCCATTGGAGACAGACCGATCTGAGATTAATTTTATCCTGATTTTCACTCGTGTGGTAGGTCAGGTTGCTGTTGTTGCTGACCTTATGTTTTAATTGGCTGAAGGTTTTGCTGGTTGAATTCAATTCTGTTAGGCAACCGAATATCCACCACTAAGTGGTCGACGCACACTTGCGCCGCTTGTGATTGCTCTCGAAAGCACCATCGTTGCTGTCTTCTCTAGTGCGATTAGGTTTGTTGCCCGCCATCCGGGTCTGAGTAGGCCACTGGTTTGACCAGGACGGACGATCGTAGATGCTTTGTATATGTTGAGATCAACGGCATTGTGGAGAGTCCGTATATCAGTTACATAATTTAATCTCCTGATGGATGAGGTCGGACTAGGCTTGCAAAACTGACTCGGCATTGTGCGACGGCATTTAGTTTACTGCGACATTTAACTTATCAGTAGATCAGAAGCAGACGATTCCGTCAGTTTCATGTGTTCAGCGTGAATTGAGCATCTGAGTTGTTGAGGGCAACTCGAATCTTGTCCGCCGCACGCCGAAGGTGGATGCAACGCAGATACGATTGCCTGGCTACATCTGATAAAAAATATAGGGTTACGGTAATCTATGTGAACAAGTGTATCCCTAAAAGGTTTACAAAGGGGACAATTACTGGAGCTCAGCTACTCTCATTCGAAACCGATCACCAGAGTAGAAGCTTACGAATGTTGGTAGATGAAACAGAAGGTCGTTACGCGAAGTTCGTTACATTCAGAGCAGTGAAAACACTTGTGAAGGGTAATGATATAACAATTCCGGTTTCGGAGAAGGGGTAAACACAGTACCTCGTGCAAAATACCACGTACACGAGTAAGCAGTCTGATGGGAGTTTGGTATCGTGTACAGATTTTTAAATTTAAAGTGCAGCTGAGGTTGATGGGGTAACTAATCTAGCAGTTTATTTAACTGATTGACATTGATGAGTTATGCACGAGATGTGTGGGGTGCTGGCTTTGCGAACAAATGCAGTTTGTCCGCGAAAGGTTGCTCAGCGCAAGTCGCCGATTATCGCCTGAAGTTTACCGACTTCATCTGTAAAAGAGAAGAGTGGAGGGAGCGGCGACGTTGAAGTATAGTTGTTTGAATACCAGTGAACTTTGGTCACAAAAATTCATCTTAGCGATGTGTTGGTGTCATGAGAAAAAAATTAATGAGGATGAACGTCCGCTTCAAGAATATCATAGTTGTGATGCAGATGTTCCTAATTCACTCATACTTCAGGAAAAAACAGTCATAGGACTAGGTACATGATACCATTTGGTCGCATAACGGGTGATTTATATCTTGCCATCCAATGGTATATAACCAAGATAGTTGCATTTTCGACACCCAGGTTAAACCAGCTGATCTTAGCAGCGCAATAACCGCAGTAGTGCGCTCTTCTTGAGTAGATGCGGCTTGATGAAGGGTAGCAATGTGGGACATGGTGAAATACGGATTGCGGGCAATGAATGTAGTAAATAAGGTGGAACAACTCAAGGTAACTCATTAGGCACTTATATCTCCATAGTAACTTCTTAATGTTAGGTGACACTTTCCTCATGTGAGTGTCTATTGCTTCCATAAGGGAAGCTACTCACAAGCTTCCTGAAAACTCTTCGACAGCCCTTCTTGGGGCTCATCAGATAGGCGCAGTCCCCGAGTTTCCGTCAACTTTATGTTCTGCTTGTTCTACTGCTTCCCTTTTTTCGGGCATTGGTACTCGGGTGACTTAAACTGTTGATTAGCAGGCGAGCTAGTGCCTCAGTTTCATAATTACAGGGCCAGTAAACCTCTCGAGCATCCAGTCGTGTCCACAAAGCGAGAAATGTAAGTACAAAGGCAAACTCTGTTGATTGGGTCCGCAGATAACCCGGCAATCCAAACGATCGATATTACCAATCTGATAAAGAGATATCCACATAGAGGAAACATTTGACATGATGTATCCTCTTGATGGGTAGTATTACCTACGGACAAAATTCTCAGAATATCATCTCTGTATTCACCGTTAACCCTTCCTCCAAGGCAGCTTTTCCTGATTTCGAGGATACTCTGCAACAATACTTTCTTCAGTTGCATTAAAGCCTGGCACTAAATTATGTGCACTAAGCTGAGTTCTGCTGTTTAGCCTAGAACTAATTTAGCTAGCCAATGATTTTTTGCCAACCGAACGCGCAATGCTGTGCATGTCAAGTGCGGTTGAGCGGAGACTCCGGAAACTTGATGTCCATTTTTCCTGTATATGATACTGTAGTACTTCGGGTGACCGATGGACAGCACTGAGTTCCTAAGACAAACCATTATTTGTTCTTGCTAACGCGAAGAGCTCCGTCCAGACTTCCCCGGTCGGTTGCAGACGTTTTCCAACTGACAGGAATAACAACTATTCGAAGTAAGTAGAAACAAACAGCGCGTTGCAGAGTAGGGCTTTTGATACATGAGACAAAGATTTCCCTTTCCCACTCACTTTGCAGTACACTGCACTACAAATCTTAATAGGAAAAAGTATGCTGACCTGATAACTTATCGAACTAAGTATTTGCTCGGTTCTTCCAAGTAGAGTTAAAATTAGGTTCATATGAATGATACAAATGCTAGAGCTGTGGACTCAGCGGAGTCTGTCGAGAACTGAAGCTTTTTTTATGTTCTTTCGCGCAATATGCTGCATAGAGGCTGCCCCAAGGTTCCGTTACGACTATTCCAGTGAGACCTTCTCTTTCTGGATTAAGGAGTATGGGACAACTGCTCGAAATTCAAAAACAGCTCGCTGCAGGTTTCACCCCGTTTTGACCTAATATGATAGGAGTAGCTCCTGAAAGTTGGAGCAATCAATCTTGACCTGAACGGCAATGTGGTTGCCGGCTGTTTGCGGATTCTAAGCATCATCTCAGTTCATATTGAAAATTATTTCACGAAGAACTTCTGGTGCTTCATCGGAGTTTTTGTACTTACTACTCGAAAAAAATTCGGCGATTATTATTAAAGAAATGAAATGAGATAGAAGAGATTATGATGGATTACTTTCGTGTGAACTTCCTGACATAGTCGAGTGAATATAGCTTTGCAAAACGAAACGGTTTTTGACGTTGCTTTGACCAAGATGAAATCAGGTGATAAAACCTTCAAATATGATTTGTGGGAGTGTAGAACTGTGGGAAAGAGAGTTCACACCGAGCGGGTCACATTGTGTATGGGCCTTTATGACAATTACCGAAAAATTCCATTGTCCTCAGTATTGGTCACAGCGCCCCTACATTATATGCAGCACACCACTGTAAGGTATTAATGAAAAACATACCTTACTGCGCCAAGGCGAATACAAAGTGTGTAATTCACGTCGGCAATTTACGTTAGAACTTATCCTGCGCGGCGTAATACTTCTGAGGTCAGTTAACTGTCTGGCTCTTCTTCAGGGCACACTACGTATTCTGCCCGGATTCTGATGTTCAGCGTCTGTTATCATAGAACTGGATAAAGCCAGGTTGGTTGAACAGTCACGTTATTGTGTATGGATTACGCCGTGCAACCTTTGTTCTTGATCACCTGAATAAAGACACTAGCGGCCGTGGATGAAGCATGGTTAGCTGTGTAGTCCGAAAGCCCTACATCCACACTGCCTGTGAATGGTATGTATTCGGGGGAATGTGACTTTTGGCTTAATGGGAATGAACGGTTACTCACCATAAATCAATGTGGATGGGATGATGAAGTTGCTTCCTGCAGCTGTTGTTAAGTGGACTGTATAAAATATTTAATCCTTGGGTTATCAACTTTGAGCACAACCCTAAAATTCAGCCATAGTTAATCATTTATACTGGTATCAATACATATACATGGGAGAGGAAGTAGAGCAATCGGTCCGTAATTTTCGAGGTCCGACCCACCATATGCTTAAACGGGTTATTATTCCACTTTTTCACCGTTTAAGAAGACAGGAGGTTGGTTCTGGTAGCCAGGGCGCCGCTAGTTTGTGCCCTGGAAAGGAAACGGCTGTGGAGTTGCTGTTGTCTTCGCCAACGGCAGCATTTTACGGAGGGTGTTAAATTTACGTTCGACAACAACTGCGGAGAATATTGTGTGGTCGAGACCTTCTTTGTTGGGAACGTATTCATGTTCAGCTACTACAAATGTAGGTAGTTTCGTGAACTGTTTCCCAAGTTGTGTACGCGTGAAGCGATTAACGGATTGTAGTGCGGTTGTGCCGGGCCTTGTTTTTTAGGCCGGTTGACGTGCTCGTATAGGAAGTTGTGATGTGCTGTGAATTTGGCCTTGAGTGTAGCCACCCAGTTCCTCTTGTCATCTCAGGTCAGAGAGACCCAGTGGTTCCGAACACCTTTTTTTTAGCTTCCTTCCTTTTTCGTGAAGCCACCCAACCTCATCCCGTTTTGCAAGCCACTTTATAGTCTTACTTTCATTCCAGCTTTGTGTCTTCGTAAAGATAGAGGACAGTGTGTTTTGAAAAGCTCCGTGGTTATGTATCGTAATTCGGTTTGTGAGTTTCCCAGACTGTCTGGTGACATGTGTACCATGAAGGTACACTAATTGGCTCTTACCAGATACTATTAGGTGGGTGGTCCGGTTTTTGTTTGGGTAGGGATCATGGGTCCAGGTAGTTGAGACTAGGACTAAGTGGTCAGTTTGAGCTAACGGCGCTTGATGGTTGATGGTTTCGATAATTCTTTCTCTGTTGGACGGAATCAGATTGAGTGAAAAGGACTGTTGGACCGTCGACATCTGTTTGATTGTGGTGTGGTCGTAAAGTAGGACACAGTTTGTGAGGCCATGTGAGAAGTCCTTGAAGGCAGTGCCACTGAAAGAGCTGTCCGTGAGGAATGGAATGTTGGTGTCTTCGGTAATGAAGACACGAGAGTAACCGAGAAGGGCCCAAGGAAGAGCATTAATAAGGTTTCGATTGAAGTGTAGGAATTATCAGGAGAACAGTTAAAATCGTTACGAGGCGACGTTATTTAATTTCGAAACACGCTGCAAAAAGGGCTTGAACTTGATGGTCACATGGAAAGAAACTGTTGTACTGAATGACTACTTTTATATCCTGGACGTCTCTGTCACCTGATTAATAGAAAATCCGGAACGGAGGGTCTGTTTGTGTGGATGTCCTGTGAAGGCCTTTCAGTTATAGCTGTAAGATTCCAGGAAGTTTGTGGATGGTGTTCGAGTTCTGCGTGCTTGCTCTGGAGTTCTTGGGCGTTTGTTTAACATAAACTGAAGGATCTAAAAGGTATGACTTCCAATTGAAGTGGGTGTTTTGGACATGGAAACTGTGAAGGGCCAATAGAGCATAGACGGGCTGCGGGAAGTGTGTTGTCTCCTTTGGTTCAGCTCGGATGTTTTCCACTTGCTCAATTGGCCTTCTAGAGCTACGTGAGTGTTGGGTGCTTTTTATGAAATTCCATCATGGAGTCTGAGATATGTGACCATGACCTTTTGCGACGTAGCAGATATTGGCATAGAGATGAAGCAATGCTCGAGCTGAGACCAGCCCGCAATACCGGTGTCTGGCCCCTTTCCGCTCTGCTTCCCTCTAGGCTTCACTGGACTGCCACAGCAACAGCATGTCGCATCAGAAAGGCAAAAATGTCTCAGGAGTACGAAAAAATCGGCAGAAATACCGTGGTGTCTGGCAAATTCGAAAAGGAATTCAGCTGGCGTAAGCTGTGTTTTGTAGATCAATCTCAGATAATCTTTCGCGTAATTCTGAGTAGCTTTCCCAAACTATGGGTAATCAAGAGGGACAGGTTGATCCAAATGAAGAATATTCTCTTCCTTTCACGGCTTGCTTGGCAAATGTTCACATTTTCTAGTGATAAAGCTGAAAATTATCTGGCGAATATATTAGAAGTGCCTTGAGAATTAATAGTTTTGCCTCTAATATACTTTTCCTTTCATGTCATGATCATAATAGTGTTTACTGATGTAGGATTACAAGAACTAATACGGATTACCAGGACTGAGAGATAATGCGCAAAACACCTCGTGGATTCTATCTTTTACCTCATTAGCGTGATATATCGCTTCACAGCTAATCAGAGCATATTAGGCATCTGCCAATCTAAATTGGCAATAAGTAATTTCATTGTTTAGACTAATTTAGAATCAGGGCGTTGTGTCATTAACGATTGTTGAGAGATGTAACATAGATTTACGTGTATGAAGCGGTGTAATAACGTAATTAAGTGACTTGAAGTTTATCGACGTTCGTGCCTGAATCCTTCGGGTATTCGCATTTACCTCTTATCGATACGAGCGTTCCATTCCACCTTGATAAAAAGGGGATCTCTTGGATGCGCACTGCAGTGAATGAAATTTTGAGATATCCGAGAAAATCCAAATGCTCTCGTTTACGGAATTATTCTAATTCAACCCCTGTTCCAATCTGAACTTATCAACACAAATCTAAACGACCGGAGCTAGGTTCATCTTAGTGGTGCTGCATCACATTACTAACTTTGCGATGAGCCAGACGTCTACGCATCTCAGATTTCCGAACAAAATTATGATTTGTATGTTTCATTGTTAAGTGGCTAACCTGTGGTATGCGGGAAGATTACCGTGAACTCAGAAGGCGTCGAATTAGAGCAGTCATTCATTGTCAATTACCCTGAGGGGGGAAACCAAAAGTACCCGGTTTCAAAGCTCTAAAAGACACACGCTGCACATAAGTTTGCTAGGAACATGTGGACAGCTCGTGACCAGCCTATGCGCAGAACATTCATTCGTAAACGAGAGACTTAGTTGGGATTCTGCTGAGTCCTCCATTATAACCATATTGGTTTACAAATGAGTGTATTTTGCACGCCATACTTGTTCCTGTGCATTCGCATTCTGTTCCCTCTCCCACCACAGTACCATAAGGTGGAAGGGAAAAAGGTTGGACCCAGCTAACTGCGGTAAAAGTAGTCACTGGAGCATGATATACAATGTCGAATACGTCTCACATTGGTGAAATGGTGAATTTTAGGCAAGTGACTTACCATCCGGCAGGTTGAACAGACTGCTGTGTTTCCGAAGAAATTCCTGCTTTACGGTGGTGTGCAAGTCAAAAACGTTCATTGTGTTCAAGTATGATCTTGTAACCGATGAAGGGGGAAAAATAATCAAAGAAATGAGAAAATCTGACTTGAAATAGAATATACTTTTCAAGAACAACAGCATACACATTAGTCCCATGAACGGGCAGACTCGTAAAATACCCGATCCGCGTTGAAGTGATTTCAACAAAAGACACTATCACTTACATGGAAGTAAACGGAGAACCAAACAGTGAGTGACGTATAAAGAGCTTCTCCACGGAGGAAGGACTCTTGTCGATAATCACGGAAATTTGCCACGTATTTCGACCAAGTAAGAGGGTACCAAGCAAAACTGACAGTAACTAGGTGGTAGTACTTAACCGATTCACACGCAGTGAGTTGATTGACGGAAATAACCTGATAAGTTTCCTACAGTCACTTTGTCATAAGCTGTCCATTTGGTCAGCATTTCTTTCACATGTAAGTTATGGCAGGTTTTCACGAGTGGAATTCTCAGCGAAATGGGTTTGTTAGGCTTTCTATGTGGCGGTTGAGTCACCGAGTGCGTTAAATGTGACCTTATTCGTACACAGCTGTACTGCGTACGGTTTCGATCTATTGCTTTCTTTGAAGGAAATTGCATTCACTACTCAGCCTTAGCAAATTACTTGTGGGGTACGAACTCAATCAGCGATGTTCTCTAATGCCACTCATCTGAGTAATAAGTGGCGCGAATGACTGAAGTTCAATCGCATTTAGGATGAAACTCCCATTTGTTGTGTTCCTCAGACAAAAGCCTCCTTTGGATTAATTTGGACCGACATCCGAGGAATTATCCGTCATGAACGACATGATATTTCGAAAAATTCAGAATGAAAGCATGTTATAAGAACTGAGTGGAAGCCGTGGAAGACCGTGATCGTCCTAGGCACAGGATGTAGGCAAACTCATTCGCTTCCAGAAACCTGATAGAAACAACTGAACGACTCAAAATTCATATCCCATACCTCATCACAGATTGATTACGATTTTAACCAACTTCGCGCCGCACAGAAAAACATCCCTTTTAGTTGTTTTATTCTGCGAGTAGTCGGGGGTTCTGCGAAGAGTGGATATTGGCTTGTGTTGTATCATCTTTCGTACCAAAATGGATTTCGAAGTGGACAGCAATGGTGACGCGGGAAACTAGGTCGAGACAACCTGGCAACCCCCATTTAGGATATCAAACGTTGTCGACCCAGTTGGAAAGAAGAGAACTGCCTACTAAAACTTCATCTGGTTGCTCAATACTTTGTAAACAATGGGTTGTGCGCCTGCGCACCAGCTTTCGATATTGAATGTTGAAGTGGTCGATAGAATCGGTTATCACTAATAGATTTGAGGGGAAACGTCATTCAAATAACCACAAAACTGGGAGGAGCAGCGGTGGAGTCTGACAAGGTGTGGAACTTAATAATGGGGTAGAAGACGTAGAAGACTGGGTGATCGTAACTTATAATAACAACAACATCAACCAGAAAAACAAAAACAAACAAAACAGACAAAAGACAAATCCGATTGTGCAGATGTCCTACTTTAACCTATCCAGATCTCATTGAGATGAACGGACACGCGTAAGAGATACTGGATGCAGCAGTCTTACTGGCAACCATTCATAGAATTCGTCATTCCCACTCCTACAGCAGGCGCGATCCCCTTCTAAGACTTGTCACTTGCTCCGAGATCTTAGAAGATGCAGTCACATGGACAAAATCTTGTACTTAATATGATATGATTAGGTGGTCGATGCCTCTTTTGAGAAAAAAAGTGACTTTCTATCTCCTATCTAATATGTGTCGTGTATAATTCTGGTATTTTCAAAGTCCTTTTCACTTTTTCATTAAATAACAAGAAACTGGTAGTTAAGCTTATTTTGTAAGCTGTGTCGGTTTCAGAATAACATTTTGCTGATTGCTTTACGAAAGGAGTCACTTCCTTACAAGGAAGCCGGCACTACTCAGCCTACTTCAAGAGACAAACTAGGTTCTCCATTAAGTTCATAGACCTTTTTGTGAATTACACTATATTCATATGAATAGGAAATTTCGCAACGGAAAATAAGGCGTCTGGGACACAATCTCATCTTTGGAAGCTCTCACGGTTGCGTACTATTTCTCCACGACATGCAGTAAAGATACTAGATTGAGTGCACGAATTCCAGATAGAATACAACATTCGGCGCAGGTTAAAGCGTCCCACCACTCCAACGTGACAAAGCTGTCTTATTGCGAAAAAATAGATACAACCATAATTTGCACGGAGACTTTTTGATGATGTCTCGCGAAAAACTATAATGAAATAATTGGGGCTATTTTCAATTTTTTTCAATTTTAGGTGGAAAATCATTCTGAAAAGTTAACTCGAGATTTTCCAGGCTCCTCCATCATACCAAATCACTCAGCTGACAGGGACACAACAGATTCAGATGGGCCTTGCTGTTTAGTGTGAGTTACTGTATCACCAAAAACTAACGGAGTATTTGTACCATAAAATTACCATAACATATTTTAACATATTTTTTCTGGAATTTAACATTGTACCATTTCTGATGGTAATAAAGACATTTGTAACTTACTGCACTGCAAAAAACCACCATCAACTCAACACTTGACAACTTTCCATTGGGGCAGTGTGAATGAGGGTAACAGATTCTTGACCCATTGGGTTTTGTCTGTTCATCAGGAGGCGGCTTAGTTGCTTGCAAAGCTTGACAGTTAGCTTTCTGAAGCTTTGCCACCACACGAAGAGGCATTATCAAGAAGCGGTTTTCTCCTTGAATCTTATTTGAATTTACCAGAAGACAGAATATCTCAAACTTCGAAGAATAAATTCTGAACTTGGATAGCACCCATAACTTAGTAGGTATGTGCATGAGAATAAAAGTCTAAAACCTACGTTGATATTTCTTTCCTCGTTGTTGTTGATGACCCAACATTTGTGATGAAGCTTGGACCATTCGAGATGGACAACTCCCCGATCCCAATTTACTATCAATTAGTTGGTACTGGATGTGACCATCTGGTGTGGGGCTTCCAAGCCATAGCAAGTTAATATCCGATTCTCAGCAGTTTTTTATCAGGCAGAGATTTATTCAATGCTGCTACCTAGTTAGTTACCCTGATCAATGCAGATGGACGTCTTGAGACTTATACCTTTTAAAGAATGTGCAATGTTTCTCTGATAACACAAAAGTCTGCCAGAGAGCCGCCATCTAAATGTGCAACATGAAAAACCGCAATGCCTATAATTTCTTGGAACAACATCACGGTATGTGAAGACTCGACGAATTTGGATAAGTAGTTATTGGGCGCCTTAGCTAGTACCGTCATCTTGGTCCATCAGCTGACGGTGTCTTTCCCTATTCGGCTTGCTGCCTGTCCATAATGGGATGCCACGGTAGTGCTCATTTTGACCAGTCGATTTGAGAATAACTCTCTAGGAAGACGATCGCTATCGTTGTTTCTCGCTTCCAGAATTTCACTGGAAGATTCAGGAGTTTTCATCAAATACAGTCCTCACGCTGACAAGTTCATTATTCTTCGTGGTGCAACTTACTTCCCGTAACTATCTCCTTCTTTGGTGGAAATTTGCATGCATATCTGATTCAAGTTCCGTCCCATTTCTAGTCCGCAGCATATAATCACAGAGTATCGAGTGTCGCACATCGAGATAAGTGATTTTCGGTGCGTTGAATTTGCTATGTGAGTGACTTGGGAGCCAGCAGAATGATTTGTAGGACACAAGTACTCTTGAAAATAGATAACTCTCAAGTGGCCGAGAACAGACATCGAGTTAAACCCAAAAGAAGAGTTGTCGAGAATAAGGAACTTCACTATCACCCACCCACCAAATCCCAGTTTGAAAAACGCTAAATCGTCCAAACTAACTAAGATGGACGATGTCATCAGACCCTAGGCAATTTCTTGCTACAACTCGACAAAAATCAGCAGATACACCGATCATCTAAATAAGAATCTGGTCGTTCGACATGAAATCCATCGGATGGTTCAACAAATATGGCTTCGAAAAGAATAACTCAGGGCTATTGACTTATCTCTCTCTCTCTCTCTCCATATTTGATGTCTAACAGCAGATTTGTTTGTTTTTCACTGGTTCAGTTTTGAGCCACCGTCGATTAGACTATTTCGGTGGAATTAGCACCGGAAAGCTCTATGCTTCGTTCGTTTCAAATTAATGGCATTCAGGTAGGAAGATTTCCTGGTTGAATTTGATGTTTTGTTGTTCCTTATATTTGTCTCGAAAATGCACGTTGAACTTTCCGATTGGCCGTTCTGTGTAAGACTGGTAGGATTTCATAGAAAACCCGTTTATGTCAACCTATCCTACCATCAACTAAGTGTAGAATTTCAGTTAAACAAACTGCTGAAATACAAGTGTATTGCTATATCTGGTACTGACTGATAGAAGTGAATCATTTGAAATCAAACAAGCCTACTGAAAAGTTTACCACTAACTTTGTGCACATATTAAAGATTTTGAGTGTGAACTGTGTAGAGTCTTAAAATATTTTCAGAAGGCTGACTTTTGCAGGCCACTGAAATGAAGCTTTGATATTTTATGAGTAAAGAGATCTTAAAGTAACACCAAAATCCTGCTTTAAAGGGATTTGAGAAGATGATGTTAGGCAGTTTTGTTCAGTCCGAAGTAGGTCGAGAATTTACGGCAGTGACGGGGAGAAACATGCACTGAGATTTCACTCAGTGTGTACATTGCAGACCACAGGTTTAATCACTTTATCGGCAGCTGACTTCCTGTGTTTTTTAGTCTTGTTTGAACTCCTATCTCGCTTTCGTCCCCAAAACGAGAAATACAAGCTATTTCAGTAAATAAAGGAATTAAAAGGGAAGAAATATACTTTCTGATGCTCAAGCTCCACCGTAACTTTGATAAAGCTCACAGATGGCATCCAGACCAGAGCTTGAAAACTGAGCGACAGTTCAGTCGAATATTTTCAAACTTATCTAGGATTTTGCTAATTTCATTTCTATTGGATGTGAATTTGGCATCTCTAAAGATTTCAGATTTAAGTGTAGTGCAATTACTAGCGCTTAACCTGACCGGGTTTGAGCACTTACAAATCTGGTTTGAAACTGAGTTTAGTCTCTGTTTGCGTAACTCATTTGCTCTGAGTTGCAGAAAGTCAGCCAGCCAAACGAGCTACGCTAAGTGGGTCCAGGAGTGTATGGCATGAGGATAACTGTACTCAATGATTAAAAAATCTCAAGCTTACTCCCAGCATGTTAGGGGAAATTTTGAAGCCCTTTTGAGAGATATCTGTGAATGAATTACGTGAATCTTCGAAAATTTCCAATGCTAACTCCAAGACTGTGGTAAGGTGTCCTTAAATAACTGTATTTGCTTAGTTGAGGGATGCATTTGTTTTGCTCTTTTCATGCACGTTTTTTATTTCATGCATTTTTTGTAAACCGTTTCGTCGTTTTATCCATGCCATTCCAGCAGCCAGTTGTCAAATGTAATTCAATGTTTGCAGGTACCGTTTTGTACGATATGGTACATGTTATCCATGAAAAGTGCCCCTTACCAGTAATGCCAGTAAGCATTCTTGAAGTCAAAACTTTACACGGATTTTTGGAAGCTGCCAGAAGAATAAACTACCCAGTTTTAATGCTAGTTGTCCAATACATCCCTTATTGAAAACATTATCTCAAATGAATGCTGATCTTCTTACTTATCTGACGAGAATAGTCTTGATAGCGAACCACTTTATTTCATCTTGCTTCTTCGGGGACATTCCCAAAATTTACCCTATTTATTTTTAATTGGTACTGCTAGCAAGCATGAGTTGAAAAACATTTAGTTAGTTTCTACCTAGGCTTTTCTAATGTGGATAAACTGCCGGCTGCTGTCGTCGGTTGAGTGGACTTACTTGAGTTGATCGTAGACGATTTCTTCCAGACGTTGCTCGGGTCTGTTTGTGAAAAGATAAAAGCAAAACAAATACTCACCAGGCCTGAACGTGAACAAGCTGTTTTTCCTCCAGTCTGCTACAGTTGAATAAAACACCACACAATGTGTCACGTGTTCATTATTCAATGTGTGATATGGTTATCTAACTAATAAGGGTGCTACCGTTTTATTCCAAAGAGTGACTTCCGTGCAGAACAGAACAGATAGTCATACCAGATAGTAAAAAGATGGCATCAAAAACGGAACATGGTTACGCCGTAAGAAATTCGCTGACCTGCCAGGCTTGATTAGCCTGCAGTGTCCCGCAATCCGGTAAAGCGACCAAAATACTTTTGAGTACAAAGCAGAATTCAATAGCGAAGTTATCTCTTTGCAATTTCAGGTTCGCTGTAGTTGAGAAAAGACCCTTCCCACACTACACTACAAGCTTCTGTGCTGGATACAAGATGTACGAGAAGCCCAACTTACTGACAATGACGGTGTATGTCAATGGTTATAGGGGAGATTCGCAGACCATTTTTGAACCTGGCTTCGGTAATGGGGTCAATGAAGATAGTTAAGTTTTACTTTTGCTATTTCTGATGTGTGCACTCCATATTAACACAGTCTTTCTAGTAATACCACTATGTTGTGATCCCCAACATTCAAATAGGCTTTCAGTTACTTTAAACAAGCGTTATCTGAAATGAGTAAAAACTTCAGAATAACAATGCTTCAGAATGGACAATCATTCTTGTTTGCTCCAAGCTCATTGCAACAGCACCCTATTAAATCCGGGACACGAGAGAACACAACGTTTAGTGGAGCAAAACACCAGAACGATAGGTCACTGACAATCTGTCGAGCATAATAAATATTACACAACCACCGGCCTTCAGGTATAAAACAAGGATTGATTGCCAATAAGGTTTTAGTGGGGCTAATAATGAGCCTCGAATAAACTGTTTTTAAGCACTTTGGAGATAAATGTCTTAAAATCCTTTATTTGATGACCATAAATTTTCATTAGAGCCTGGAGATTGGGAAACCGTCAAATGTGGCAGTCTTGTTTATCTCAAACAACTACGTCAAAACGGAATCGGTTTGAGCGGTTTTGTTCCAAGTGTCTCACTAAAAACTTAGCAGCGTGCAGGTGAGTATACAAAACATGGTTCAGACCAGTGCCATTTGGCTTAAAAATTTCCATCTGTCATTTCGACGGTCTCTGTGCTTTACTAATATAATGATAAAATCTTGAACTAAAAAAGAATTCGTTTGCAAATAATTAAATGCTGCTTGATCACTCATGGCAGGTGGACTTAGTTAAGCTACAGGCAATATAGTGCTGGTTTGCACTCATATTTCGTATTCTTCCGTATCATATAGGCAGTACTGCCAGGTGTCGTTTCTTCCCAAACTTGAATCGGCCTCTTTAATCCAATAACATCACTTAAAGCATGACGTAATCACTAAAGATTTGTCTGACTGAAGCCAACTAGTTTGGACAATGAAACCGCATTCGAAGTGAATGCTGAATGACACTTTATGTAAAATTCTTCGGCTGGGACTTCATTTGCGAGGATTTGACCGCATATAATACCAAGAAAGACCGTCAAACCGTTCGGATTTCCTTTCTCTCTTGTCAGGACAGACATTAATTACAGGGATATCTCTTCGATTATTTATTACACTTTTCATAGAATCAGGAAGTCTGCATATAATTTTGAAGAAACGGGGCTGCCTGTCACTGCAATTTACATTTTACCAAACCGTATAATAGTTAGCAACTACACTAGAGGTAACATGATTTAACGTCCTGCATTGAAGCCTTGTGCAAAGGTACATTAGAGATAGTGTCTACTACGAGTATCTAACCCTAACTCGATAGATTGTGCCGAAACTGGCAATGCGATCAGCATGTAAATTGTTCGCCTAAAAGATTTTACTGGAACAGAAAAGTTGGCGAAATACCGTTGGTTTACGGGCAAACTAATTGCATCTGTTAATAAGTACCATTCTACACAAGTGTTTACTAGGCCATGAGGACTTTATTAGGTACATGGTTTCCTCTTATCTCTGAAAATAAACTTTTTTCAATTCAGCATATCCAAACAGCAGCTTAATTAGTTGGCGTCATTTTTTTTAAAAATTCGTCAGATTTACACTCCTTGGTGTTTACTCATTCTGCCCACTAATTACCAACTGATTCCAGAAATCAGTGTCTCCAACTTAACGCACCGCTGCGTCGTCAGTTTTGGAGTTGAAAGTCGATACATGCAGTGATATCAATTCGTTTTTTGTTTTTTAGCCTGAGTTCCAGGGCGAGTATGGTGTATCTTAAGAATTCACTAGGACAGGCTGTGGAAATTGCTTTTTTGTTGCTTTTTGCATGACGTACAGCCTCCAGAGGTCACCGAATATGATTAAGTGCAATAAATAACTTGAAGCTATTCTGTCGGATTAATAGAAGTTTCCTGAAATGTGAATCAACGTTACACAAACTTGAGAAAAATAAACCCTTTTACACATCACGGTCAAACTTTACGATTATTGAACCACTGTACGACTTGCTTGAAATCCAGATTTTGGTACCCTAGTGTCTACTATTCACAATAAGCAAATGGAATACTGTANTAGGCGGATAACCATTATTTTTGCACGCTGTTTCGTTTGTCGATGTTTGTGTGCAGGGTTGCTTTCCGCTAGACAGCAGCAAAATGATTAGTAATTCTGTCTGAATTTCATGGTGCACCTTAGAGCAAATTTGTTACTGTAAATAGATGATTAACGCAATGCATAGCTGCACGGTGCAACTCGTGGACCCAGGGGCACCGTTCGCTTAATGCCAGGTACCAGGATACTTGAACCAATTATTTGCTTTGGCGACCGACTACTTTAGTTCTGGGAACGGGCTGTAAAGGTTCTGTATTTTATAATAAACAGATTCTAGTCTCACAACAGGTGCTTCCTCTGGGTCAACCAGAATGCTTAACAGACTAAAAGTTACAAAGCATGCTAGCTCGCGTTTTTGCAATTTTCATGAAAAATTCCTGTATAAACTTTGAAATGTCTAGTTTGATACGCTACAACAGTTTCATTGAGTTATAGGTTTTCAAGTTGACAACATAGTGCAAGCTAATGAGGGCAGTCTTTAAAGGTATCAACTTGGCCGAATATAGGGCTTTGTATGCTTGTGATTTTGGATTGTTTAAGTGTATTTTACTCGATAATATGTGTTCTGCGGGACAGTACTTGCAGCCGATTTATACCCATTGTTTTCAACAGGGTAACATGCAGCTTGATTTGTAGATGACTGGTTGGTCGTGAAGTAGTGAAGGCCGAAGGCTTAAAACTTCATTTCCTGTATTGTAAAACCCTCTTTAATGGTATTTTTCACTCGCAACGTACGGTGTTCAACAGGCGTGAATAGAAAATTTGAATTAACACAGTCTGCTTGTATCCAGCAGCATATACGCAAATAAACACTGAAGGATAACATCCATTTTTTCAGAAAGATTGCGTGCGGCATGTATTAGTCCATATACGCAAAACGTTGCATTGATTATGGACTATATTTGTGCGGGTTACGTGGAAGAAACTGGCATACGCGCCAGACTAACGAAACGTTGTGACATTCCTCGGTAAATTGGCTATGCTTATAGAAACAGTAATTGAAGAATCAACGAATATGCTAGCGTTTTAAACCAAACTAAGCTTTATACTACGACAAATGCATATAACCTTTACTGACACCACAAAAACTTCTATTGCTTGTGCTTTAAAATCAGCATGCAATTTCAGTATACGCCGCTGCTTAGCGAGAGCCCGGTGTACAGCCCGCGTGAGTCGTGCAACAAAATCACCCTCCAGTGAACAATCTACTAGACGCGCTGGTTTCCGGATAATTTGAGTCTTGTGGACCCAAGAGACCAAGATCAGAATTCACTTGTTTTGGCTCAGAATACAGTCAAATACATTGTTTTTAACAGAACAGGTTATTCTCTAAGCTATCATTTGGAGCAAATCAATGGGGCTGTTATGAATGATTTTTCTCAAGATCTGGAAACCTTTGACTTTTGAGTGTTGGTATTCGGCAAACCAAATTAAACATTAGAATAAGCTTAGTGTCGAGAAGATTCTGAAACTAAAATAAAAATGGTAAAGTAAAAGTGAAATGAAAATAAAATGAAATAGAGAAAATACTACTCAAGTAATTAAAAAGGTAGAATAAAATCAAGTCAGATATTTAGCCTTTTGGAAAGAAACGATCACATGTAAGGCTGCCCTAAGTATTTTGCCTCAGTGTGTTGATAAATCATATTTCACTGGATTATCACTAATCCAGACCAATGTCGGGAAAATTAATCTAGAAAAGACGCGCTAGATGCTCGGGGTACACTGAGACATGGCTGATAGCGATTTCTCTAGGAAATATTACTTTGGAAATCATGGGTACAAATGTAGCTGTCTTTCCACTCTTTACTCGAAGTATTGCAGACTTCTGTTGATGGTTTGCACCATTATCATTTTGCTCACCGTAAGAGCAGTTCAAACCGATTAGGGAAAATCATTGGCCTGGTTTTTGAAGCAGCCAACCGATGCACTAATTTATTAAAATTGGAACAATGTAAAACAGTATGACCCATGTTTTGGCGCATAATTACGATCTCCTGTTTAGATACTCATCATGTGACTTTACAGTTACTGGGCCCATATGATCTGACTTGATTTCACAAAGCGCTAGCATACATCTGTTCTGTGGGTGATAACTGCGTTGCTCACTAGCTTTAGGCTTGGCAATTAATTCGCTATTTTTTCCTAACATGGTTCAAATCAAATGGATTTATTCAAACCTGATTTTACTATGTGCTGGTACGTTTAAAGCACCACTGTTAATGTATACTTTAACTTTCACCATCTGGTAAACTCATATAGAGTGTCTTTTATCTGAGGTCCGTTTGGGAGGTGATACTGTTTGGCTGACCATTGTTTGTTTAGCTTGCTACAATACAGGTTTCACATTTGGTTTAGCCACTTACGAGTGTTCATCAAGGTTCCAGTTGCCCGTATTTTCCCAAAAGGTAACTCAGTATGTTGAAGAAAATGAGAGTGAAAGCAGGTATACATCATACGGGCTAAGGCAAACTACTAGTGGGTTGTGTTTAAACTTCGTACTCTAGCAGATGGAGTGTCTTTGACGGGGAGATTAGGTGATGTTAAGGACAGCTTATGTAAGTCTTTAAAAATGATCAGGAATAACTTCTGTGCAGTGATGGCTGCATCCAAAAAACGTTTTGGATTTCTACCAGGAGCGCTGTGTCTGCTAGGGTGAACAATCTTTGCATCTGGCTAGAAAATATGCTGTGGTTATACCCATTGTAATGTGGTACGGGAAGTCCTATGACCACCGTTGCAAAAACCCCAATCTAGGTTTTACGTGCCTGCCAAAGTAGACTTTTTTGTTTGCTTTGCATAAATTTACACATCGGTGATACTGAAAAGCCAATTGTTGGAATTTATCCACATAGGAACGAACAAGGTGGTAACTGCAGCGAACAAAAACAGAACTCACTGGCTTTGCTCCATTAATTTTGCCCGTGCTTCCTGTACGGACTGGAAAAAGCAGGCATTCCAGAAACGGAGGGATTGCCAAATCGGTTGTGTTTTAATGTGTACAAACAAGAATGCACGTTCAGTTCCAGCCCCCGAATCTAGAGAGGAAAGCGACAAAAATGCAACAGGGATGTGGGATTTGTATACTGAGTGGAGAAATAATTCTAGGAAGGCAATCAGCCTTCACGTTCAGAAATGGGCACTCTCATCATGTTGACACTGATTCGTGTTAAGGTCTTGAGGTAATAAATGTGGTACCCGACGTGTTATAAAGTATGGTACGCTATGGCGCTACACTGCTGTAGTTGTCAGAAACATCGGTTTTACCTTATTTTTGTCGACTGCGACGCACATTTACTTGATTCATAGTAACAGTGTTTGTTACTGCAACTGGCATTTTTCTGCTAATGAGCGATTACGAATTATGGTCTTTCTCTAGGCAAAAATTTCGGCGAAAATACTCGAAACCTTCTGTACAGCCTTCGTCTTGTGTATCGCCGACATTTCCAAATGCGTAAAAAAGCTAATTACTGCTATTTAAGATTTATATGGCAAAACGAATACGATGTGGTTCATCGGATTTTGGTTGGAAGAATAATTATGCGACGTATAATTTTTTTTCACTTGACAAAGAGCCACGGAAAATGAGAAATCCTTTGAGCATGCCCTACTTTTAAGTTATTTTTGTTCATGTCCATTTGTTTTATTAGTTGGGCGATTTCTATGAAACCTCGAAATCAAGATGTAGTTTTCCCTGAAGGAGGAACAGTTCATTGCATATTTGTTTTCGATCCAGATTCTTCAGGTGAGTTTTGCTGAATGCATCTAGTTTTTGCACGCTCAACGGTTTTCCCGTTTCAAATGTGGTGAGTAACTATACATTAAAAATACGAACAAGGGAACCTTGGCACGAACGAGGATTTTTTGGAGGTTATGCATGCCACCTGACTACTTTCAAGAGGTTACTCTTCCAAACAAATTCTATCGCATGTGTTAAACAGGCAAATCACTCTGACGATAGAATAATAGGAGAACTTCTTCCGCAGCCTCAGGACTGCAAGGACCAAACGAAGAACAGATGAGTGCTTCTCGCAACTGGAAGAATTACCCTGAACATAAAACAGCAACGATGTAGTAAGAAGCTTCTTTGCAGGTCCAAAATCTTCGGCATCTTGGCATTCACTGAGAAGGTAGCCAATTTTGTCCAGCAACGACGGCAAGTTTCCCACTTCCAGGACATTGTCTGAACTTCGAGCCTGAAGTAACAGTAACAGCAAAATAATAACTATTTAGCTTTCTTGACCGTTTAGACTCTGTGAGCCTAGCAACTCAAAAAACGTGAAACACGATATACTGGTAAATTGTATAGTCATGTACAGGATTAGTTCAAGGCCAGGATTACGCTCGGGCAGAATATTTGGTTGTTTCTACAGGATGCATAGGCTGCGATAGGGTAAAGGAAGGCCAAGAACATTTAGATGAGTTTTTGAGTCGGCGTTTTGACCACCAAATTGACTAAGCAAAGAATTTCGTGACCGGAGTAAGAAAAACAAAAGGGACGGGAAATGATCAAAAGCTGTCAACAAACATCGTCCCTGAGGCCTTCAAATTTACAAAACTGTGTGCACGAGTTCACACCAAATCCAAACATTTGTTTACTAAACAAGACAATTACCTCAGAAAACATACCATCTATTTAGGTACGGCCGTTCCAAAAATGGGGAATCTTATTTTTGTGTACTTAAACTTGTATTTGAAAAGTTTGCTGTAGCAGTACATAAATTACAGCAAATTCGTTCACTGACTCAGATATTTTCCAATCCAGTTAATGATTTGTTATTGATGTCAGTTATAAAATAGTCAAACATGCTTAACTTAATCGCGGTTTAATAAAATTCTGGTGAATGTACTTTACTATCCAAGGAAGTATCACTCAAAAGGAGGTGTCTTCCTTCCTACAACTGAATGTGTGGGTTGTCAGTTGTGAAGTTGTCTAAAACGCATTTATGATGTATGCAGCTTGCTTTTGCTGCACTCTTTTCTTCTTAACTGAAGATGGATTCATCAAAGTGCTTATGGGGACGCTAGGCGCGAAGCGAAAATTCAGATCCTTCCATTGTTTTTCGTGCTTTTTCACTTTTCTGTTGGTTGTAGCCACTCTCATCAGTATATCGCACCGACGACACGTTTTATTTGTTTTAGTAAGGTGCAGCTCACTTGTCCAAATGATACTGCCTCAAAAAAGGCATTTTTGATCAGGCCATATAATCAGCATATTCAGGAGAAAACAATTTGACACTAGTAACTGGCCATATATGACGCGGTATTAACTGGTGTAATGTCATTCATTGTTGACTGGGAAGCAGAAGCATACTGGTTTGTTAATTCCAGATCTTAGTACCATAAATGGCTTTCTGTCATCAGTCGTTTGACCTTTCCAGCATTTACATCACTTGAACCTGAAAAGTTCATGATCACTACACTTAAGCTCAACCTGACAGGTCCAGGTCAGAACGAATGAGACAAAACTGAACTCGGTGTTCACCTTCTTTACTGTCCATAAACATGTTTATTCTTGACTGTGTTTCAGTCGTCTGTTGTGAGAAACGGGCTCGTGTCCACAGGCCGAGTGCAAATTAAATCACATGAGTTGTTACCCCTGAACAAGCAAACACGCTCTAGACTGACATACGACGCTTGAAAACACCTATCTTGGTTTTGCCAGATGACATGGATTAACCAGAATGGTCACAGTATGAAAAGAGGTAGACAAGGGTGATATGCGAATATATCCCGCAAACAAAGCGACTATCAACGAATATCCGTTCTGGTGCGTTGCACTTGTTTGTCTGCTTACAAGTTGGTAAATATAGGCCGATCACTCTATTTCTTATTGTCATATGGACAGTTACTGCGTTTCTGGAGAGTACTTTCCTAGCCAGCGGTGTTCGAATGATTTCCAAACAATACCCATTGTTTCCGAGTGGTGATAGCCAGTAGGAATAAATTTCCGAAAAAAAACTAAGCAGGGTCAGATCTGTTCAGCACAGACTGATATAGGTGATTCAACAAGTCATATGGCGACCGGCGTCACTGACTTAAGTCTTATGTACATATGAATATATATATATATATATATATATATATATATGCATTGTCATTT